AAAAAAAAAAATGGTTAGGGTAAAGTAGATTTACAGTCTGTTTGGGTAGATTCTGCTTCTACTTCTACCCTAACAAAACACTTTCAGAATTTATCTAAACATACCCAAAAGTTGCTTCTTAGTTTTAGAAGCGGCTTTTGGCTTTTCAACTGTCTTGACAAATAGGACTTTTCATATAAGATGAATCATTAAACATCGTTAACCTAGTTTTACATTATATGACAGACATTGCTGGCTGCTGGAGCAAAATATATTGTGGTTCAAGGACTACCACCTGTGGGATGCCTCCCGATGGACATCTCCCTGTGTCCACTGCAAAACCTCAATAAAATGGGCTGCGCCGCAGCTGTTAACTCTGCAATAATGATCCACAACCAAATCCTTCAACGTAATATAGAAAATCTCAGGAAAATCAACCCAAATAGTACAATCGTGTATGCGGATTACTGGAATGCGTACCTGACGATTTTAACGAATCCAAAGAAGTACCAGATTGAAGAACCCTTTAAAGCATGCTGTGGATGTGGTGAAAGTGGGTCGCCTCTGAACTTCAACAAGCATAAACTATGTGGCTCCCCTGGTGCAACTGTCTGCAAGGACCCAAGCAAATACATCAGCTGGGACGGAATCCATCTCACGGAAGCTATGTATAAACATGTGACCGATCTCTTCCTCAATCAGGGATTCTGTAAACCATCATTTGACGAGCTGATCAAACGTAAAAAAGCATGTAGAACAGCATGAAACCACAACCCAGTACTTCTTACCGCTCCGGATGGATTCATCAAGAGAGCGAGAAAATATTAAACATACTTTAAGTAAAAGTAGTTTGATCATTTTCTCTTTTAGGATTAGAACTACATAGGTATCTATCAGATACAGCCATAATACTTTCTTCAGAGAAGGTTGTATGAGTTTCCAACGAAAAATAAACGGAAACAATAAAACTCAAATGCGTAAATAATATTGTATCACCAACAATTGTGTCCATGAATGGAACACAAAGTTTGAGAATTCTTTATTTTCTTACTACAATTTAGAGGTATCCTACAGAACACCGATGGACAAACGTCGTTGTTATTTCTCTGTAATTCGAGAGAATTTTTATATTAGACTCTATTTACATTTTAAGGTTGGCTTCTTCTACATGTACACCATTTTTCTCATTTACATTATATCATATTAAGTATTCGTAGTACATTAAGAACAAGGCATCAGGAGAATCTTTGGGCAGGTTTCTGATATAATGGTAGAATCGCAGCAAATCCTCTCTAGATACAATGTCGGGGTCAACTACGTCATCCTTGCATGTAAGAATCCACAAGTCCCTCGATTTGACTCTCCTTATGGTACCACGGCAAAAAGGACACGACTCGGATCTTGTGTTCCTGAAAGTTAAAAAGAACTTAGGCAAAAGACAAAGATATGATCTACTTTAACATTTATTCTTAGGGGTTCAGATGTGAAGAAAAAAAGATATAGTGGTAGTTACCAGTTACGGTAGCAGTTTATGCACATTGCATGGCAGCAATTAGGCAAGACCATTTTGGTGCAAGGCTCTAAGCATATCCCGCATTCATCGTCTCTCTCTGTATCTATGTTGGTAAGCCCACTGTCCCCTTCGAGTCTTTTCTTGCTAATGCTTTGAAGACCATGATTATCATCGTTACTATCAAGCTCTATAAAGTCATTATGGATCCTTTGAAGTGATGGCAATATAACAGCTGCAATTTTGTTTTTCAAGAACCAAAAAAGAATAATTGTATGAATTAGACATAAGAGATGTCTCTTTTCATGAAGTTCAATAGAGCAGATGAACTGACGAACCATAAAAATCTCTAACTGTTGCTTTTCTTCCACGAGTAGATAATTTAGGCCGACCATCTGTATAAACCTGTCAATCGAAGAGATTATATGAATTAAATCAATTAAATTGCATTATTGTCACTCGATATTTGATAAATTAAGGAAAGAAATCAAAAACAAAATGCAACATATGATTATTCTCGATTCTTTCTTTCTATATAACTATTATATGATTCATAGAGAAATCCTACAACACTCATTCTCACACCGGCTTTTCATGTTTGCTATCAGTCTGAAGCTATGTGTTACTTTCACTCCAGCAAGTTACTGAAAACCAACATCTCAAGATGCTCATTTGTCTTCTCAACATATGAGTAACTGAACATGTGGAAAATTCCTAATTAGACGCCAACGCCCCGTTCATTCCGTTTATTTCTTCACGCTATCACCATCTTCTATGCCCCTATACTTTGACTCCTTTCTCTACTCTAGTGGTTAAAGAGGAAATCTCCTTCTCAAGAATCAAATTTCTAGGTTTATAAAAAAAATGTACACAAATAATGAAGTCAACATCTAATCTATATTTTCCTTCTCAATCCAATGACAACTTCAAAATATAACTAGGGTTTCTTAAAGGATTGAGTTAAAGACAGACGGTGACTGTTCGTGGAAGACAAGGGGTGCGCAGAGAAAAATGGTCAAAAGTTAACAAGTTTAGGCATTTGGTGAAGAAGATAAAAACAATATTAAAAAAAGGTTCACATCAAAACCGGTTGGAACATATATTATTCGGTTCCGAGAAACATGGCTAGAATCCAAGTCACTGTGGCTTCTTCTTGTAGCAAGTGCATGAATGAGCATCTA